CAAAAGGACTTTCTTATAGTTACTTACTAACAAACCTGTGCTTATCTTCAGTAGAGTTACAAAAGGACTTTCTTATAGTTACTTACTAACAAACCTGTGCTTATCTTCAGTAGAGTTACAAAAGGACTTTCTTATAATTACTTACTAATAAATGCACAATCGTCAAGTCAATTTTGTCTACCAGCATGTTGGGCTATTTAGAACATGTCACTAGGTGTCGTTATTCTAAACCAACCATTTGATTTGTTAATATTAAAATTTAGTGTGTGCGTTTAACGGTAACAAAGAATTTATCCAGTACCTGCTTTTCAATCAATTATTATAGCCTTTTTTGAGAAAGAAATTAACATTCAGACATTAAAATGTTGCAAAAGTAGAATTTATTTTCAATACAAAATATAAGAATAAAGACTGTCTATTATGTGGTAAACCTTATCGTAAATAGCTGTAAGTAGTTTTCATTACCTATGAGTTGAGGCCTAAAACTGATTGTAAACCTCAACTCATACGTAGTTAAAACTACTTACAGCTACCTAAAACTGATTGTAAACCTCAACTCATACGTAGTTAAAACTACTTACAGCTACTCCAGGGAGATAAAAACCTAAACCTCAACTCATAGGTAATGAAAACTACTTACAGCTACCTGAAACGTATTGTAAACCTCAGCTCATACGTAATGAAAACTACTTACAGCTACTCCAGGGGAAAAAACTAAACCTCAACTTTTCAGTCATGTCAAACTTAAATTCATCCCATTCTGAGACGATACAAAAGAGCTGGTGTTACTAGCCAGTTTCAGTGGCACAAGCGAATGGGTATGATAACACATTCTGCCCTTGACAAGATGCCAATCCATTGGAGGGTATATCCCAGCTACCTGTTGGTACCCATCATACAGCTGGTTAGACTGAAAAAATTGAGATAAATTGTCTTGCTCAAGGACACAACAACATGTCACTGACAAGTTTCTAACTCCTAACCTTCCAATTATGAGGACACAACAACATGTCACTGACAAGCTTCTAGCTCCTAACCTTCCAATTATGAGGACACAACAACATGTCACTGACAAGCTTCTAACTCCAAACCTTCCAATTATGAGGACACAACATGTCACTGACAAGCTTCTAGCTCCTAACCTTCCAATTATGAGAACACAATAACATGTCACTGACAAGCTTATAACTCCTAACCTTCCAATTATGAATCCAAAGCACTAGCCAATCGACCACGCTGCCCACTAACCTTGTAGGTAATGAGCACTACTTACAGCTACTCCAGGGTAAAATGAATTTAAAAAGAAAATATAAAAAACGTCATGCAACTACGAAAACGTATATAAGGATACTAACACCGAGTTAAAATATTTGGAAACTGAGCTAGTAAGATCAATGATCAAAGTAGCCACACCTCTCATCTGCTAAAGAATTTCAACCTCAAATACCATTACCTATTTAATATGAAATAGGAGAACCCATCTGGCTTAAACTTGTTGCTATTTATGTGTTGCCGCCTATGATTACATGACCATTCCAGTTACACCATTACTTCACCAAGTTATGGAATTTAATAGCCCAGTTCAACGAAATCATCCAGTCGAGATACCAACAGACTATGATGGAAATGTTCCATATCTGGCTCAATTTACAAAATGAATGGATGGAGTAGTGCACAGCAAGTTATTGATCTTGCTGCACATTTGAAAAGATCAGCTTTACAAAAATAAAGAAAACCTTAGATGAATTCCGAAACGTATAAATTGTTCCATCATGAAGTGAGTTTCCTGGAACACATCATTAGCAGAAATGGACTATCTATAAATCTAACAAAAATCGAGTCTCTTTAGAATTGGCCAACATCACAGAACTTGAATAAGATAATAAATCTTCTTGGATTGTACTCCAACTATTATCGTTTCTTTAAACAGATCTATGATGTTCTAGGCTGGTCTTCTTTACAAACTACTACAAAGATAAACAATTTTCTGGGCTGCTGATTGTGAACAAGCATTCAAAAACTGAAGAACTAACTAATCATCCTGTATTAGTATACCCAACTCTGGAAAAACTAACTAATCATCCTGTATTAGTATATCCAACTCTTGAAGAACTAACTAATACTCCTGTATTAGTATACCTAACTCTTGGAAATGTAACTAATCATTCTGTATTAGTATACACAACTCTCGAAGAACTAACTAATCATCCTGTATTAGTATACTCAACTCTTGAAGAACTAACTACTCTTCCTCTATTAGTATACCCACTCATAACAGGTAAAGATGCAAAAGGTATCACTGGGAACTGTGTCATCATGAGTACAGCATGGGAAAAAGCATGTGATCACTTACTTTAGCAGCACAATGAATTATGCAAAGAGGAAGTACTGGACTCTTTGGAAATAACTACCAAGTGTTTATCAAGCCATGAGTCACTTATATCACTATTTATATGGATAAAAGATTACAGGCTGGACAGGTCATTGAAGGGTTGGTGTAATTCATTAATTAGGTAGCTTCAGAAACTTCAGGAGTAGAACTTCAACATAATGCATTGTCCTGGATAAAACCATAATATGCTGATGCAATATCACAAAGACTATGTGTTACCAAAGACACTGTGAAAAGTGAGGAATGCGAGATAATGATGGCAATCAGTTTAAAGTGTGACAGAGCAAAATCCAAAATAAAACATCCATAGATCATAAAACACTAATGTGACTAAACACTTAAAAACTAATGTGGTCCAACATTTAACTGAAAGATGCTTTGGAAAAGGATACGAGTATTAAACCGATTATTCAGTGGATAAGCAATATCAGTGAATAGTACTCATGGTAGACAACAATGGTTTAATTAGCCCACAAGCAAAAATGAACTAGGCACAGTGGGATTTTTTATGTTTATAAAGAGAGACATGGTATATTGAAATAGGAAGATAACCATGGACAGGAGTTGCGACTTCATTTGTTACTTCTACAGTCACTACTGTCAGGAACTGTTAATAAGACACTAGATAACAGAATGTATCTACTGGGTTGTGTGCTGGAAATATGTAGATGATTGCTATGAGTGAAAAGATCCAAAAAGGAGATAACATGAGGACCAGCTAAGTGAATTTCCATTAACGTGTTTTGTCTTTTACCACAGAGCAACGTTGAGAATAAATACATCTTGATAGTAATTGTCAGAATTATATGTTGTTTCCAACCAGGAAGCATGTACTCTAGCAAGGAATCTTGTCAATTAGTTTGCTTCAAGATTTGGGGTGCATATAGAACTTCACCCGGGTCAGGAATAGAATGTTAAATCAGCTTTGTTTGCCAAAATGTGCTAAGTTCTTCTAGCCAGGAAAATAGGGACCACAGCCCTTCACCCCTGTTCTGGTGGAATGGAGAAGTGAGACACGACCAGACACTATTAAGTCGATTAGTCACTTATAAGGATAAACCTCAGAGAATGTTAGATCAAGATCTTTTACTCATACTGATGAGCTACTGAAAAGCAACAGATAAAGCTACAGGCAACCCACCAGTATATTTAATGTTTGAAAAAAAAACTGAAAATGCCATTGGGTCGCCTCTATATTCACACCAACACTTATCAGAGTCTTACACAGCATGCAGTGATATTAAGGAATACCACTGATGACATTGATGACTTTACCCAAGAAAGACATAAATCAGCTAGTGATAAGATTAAAAATCACTATGAAGTAAATGCTGATAAGACTAGATTTCATCGTGATGACATGGTATGGCTATATAATCTACACCTCAAGAGAGGTCAAACTTCAAAGATTAGTAGATGTTGATAAAAGTGCTATATTGTAAAAGAATGGATGATGTGGTTCATAGAATTCAGAGGAATAAGCAGTCGTAGCCTGAGATTACGTATCATAGTCGTCTTTGGAAGTCCATCAGTAAGAGAGAAGCTAATTGGTTCACTTCAAACAAAACTTTGTAAATCAAACTGCTGAAGATCCTGAGATTCCTGTCGAGACCACTTCCAGTGGATTACATTAACCATCTACTTGGAGAAAACTTCCTCAGTAACAAGACAGCAAAAAGAAGTATGTTATAAGTTAAACCACCAAAGACAATAAGATATTAACAACAGCTTTTTGCCTTGAAATAGTTGCATGCAATGGTTTCTGTTGACACTTTGTAATAGGAAGTCCAAAGCCGTATTGCTACTGTCAGGTTTTGTGGGCCGTATTCTTTACAATAGGTGTCTGTGACTTGTGAGCAATAGATTGCAACAATAAATAAACAGCAACACAGTCCACTTGTTTTAAAATTATATATTGAAACAAGACAAACGTATATACAAATGTTTGTTACACTTTAGGTTATGACAGTTGTATCCAGAGCTATAAATGTCTATTTTTTCGTCAAAGTCCACACAGTCTGGTTCAATTACATTAGAACACAATTGACGAATTATTATTCTCTGCTCTCTTATTATAACACAGTCTGTGATGATTTCACTTCAAAAATCGTCACTATACGCTCTTTATCGCTAAACTCACAGTCACGCAGTCTAGATCTAAATAATAATCAAGCCTAACGTGCAAATACAGAATATAGTTCAGTGGAGGATTACTTTAAGAAAACAGTAACCATTCCTTTTCTTAACCACATTATCAGTAATCTTTCCTCCGGATTTGATGCACATGTAAAGCAAGCATCATCAATTCAGAAACTTATGTCATCAAAATTCATACAAGAATTTTTTATCTCTCATATCAAACAGTGTATAGATGGAAGATTTGATAAATCCTGATATATTTGATGAAGATCTTCATCAATGGAAGACAAGATGACTTTCTATACCTGTCCAGGACAGGCCCCAGATACTGGCTGACTGCTTAAAAGCGTGCTTCAGTGTACCAAATATCTTAATGTTACTGAAACTCTTTGCCACACTGCAACTAAGTTTATGTTCATGTGAACGTTCAGCATCTGCTCTCCACAGGTTGAATATTTACCTGAGGTTTACACACAAACCAAAGAAAGACTGAGTGCTCTAGCTTTACTACATAACCATTTGTTTTTTACTTGATGGAGTTTTGACGTCACATAAAGAGCATATGTGATATTGTTAGTCAATCTGTCTGTTAGTCAGTTATTGAGTTTGTTTCAATAAATTAGCAAGTAAGTGAAATCATTGTCTACTGTAAACTTAGGCCTATATGTGACCACTGGTAAAGCTGACTTGAAGTTAAGAAATAAAACGATTTCATTATTATTAACTGGACTGGACTTTGTGTTATTATTTTACCAAATATTCTAAAAGAACCCACGTACAATAGAAACCATTACAAAAATACTAAATTAACAAGGTAGGTGAAACTGTTATAACTGAGTTCTATGTATATATACCAATAAGTATGAAACTTTATGACTAACAATAGACCTGCTAGTAATCTACAAGTTCCAAAAGAAGAATCCGATTAAATACCAGTATTAATTTTTACCTTCAACTTGAAATGTTTACCATTGGAAATACTCTGGTTTTTTCTTTTTACATAATCATTCATACGTACATATTCAGCCATATTCAAACACTTCCTTAAACACCGAATCATATTCAAATCCATCATACGTACATATACAGCCATATTCAAACACTTCCTTAAACACCGAATCATATTCAAACCCATCATACGTACATATACAGCCATATTCAAACACTTCCTTAAACACCGAATCATATTCAAATCAATAACATCATATATTTTACTTTGAACAATACAATGTTCAACTTACATAACCTTAGTTTAACTGGTTCACTTTTACGCATGCTTTATTGGTCAATTTGACTATGTTTAATCTAATTCAATTAATTAATAATCAAACCATCTCATTTCTGTAAGAAATAAAAGATAAATTTTACTTTATAATTTGCCATTGAGGGTCCTTCCTCAGTTCATTAAATCTTCAAAGATTTGCTTCTTATAATTGTTCAATAAATTCATGTGCACAAGTCTAATTCATATGACTTTAGAAAGTTATACTTACCTGCACATTCGATCACGGCTGGATCACTTATTATTTCAACTGGCTCCTCCTGTCTCATGGAAAGACGCCGTGGAGAAGGAGCTTCTGGAACAAGTTGGTGCATCCGGAGCTTTCGACAGTAGATAGATGCTGCTTCTGGCTCCAGTGCTATCAGTAACTGATCTGGATTATCTGCAGATCCTATACCGGCCTAAATAATAATGGCATTATACACTAATGACGAAAATATTTATCATCTTTAACTTTCAAAGAGAGAGAGTTGTGTCTTGTTAAGATAAAAACAATATAGACAAAAATATGATCAACAATTATATCTGCTAGCAGAGACCCACAAAATATTTCCGGCCAAATTAGTATCTTTATCATAACAGTACTTCTTTAAATATGGGATTTCTAGTACAATACAAACGAATTGTAATCGTAGACAACAAAAGGTGTAAATCCACTTGTATATTGGGCATACTTTATAAAACTTCAACTTATGTTAGGCTTAAATTCAATAAAGAGATAACTTAACACTGTAACCTGTGTAAGTTTTTACCTTAGTTTAGTTAGGACTAAGCTTTACTGTACTTAATACTATTGTTAAGCCTTTGTGTCGTTGGTGAATTTTCCGTAGAAATTCTTCCCGATACAAGTCCTTTCTTAAATAAAACTAGTTTATTCTTTCTCAATACAACTTTGCAATACACTTAATTTCCACAGTCACTTTAACTTCAACACACGCTATAATTCACAACGATTCACGTACTTTACTTACGGATACTACCGCGCTTGACTCAATCGTCCATCTCTGTCTGTCTGGAATTCTATTTCTGATTAATTAATTTCGCTTTATCTGGCGCACTTATATACAAGAATAGAGGGCGCGTAGAAAAGACCAGAGTTGC